ATATAAATATTAACATAAATACAAACATCAATATAAAGATAAATATTGATATAAAATAAAAACCAGATGATTTGAGGCCTGCAGACGTGAAACACCTCATCCTCATCGCAACTTCTAATAATCTGCTGCAGTTTGTGAAGAGTTCAGTCCATTAATGTGTAAAAGAAACTGAACACACACACACACACACAATGGATTTCCATGCAGCTGACTTGAAGTGAGGTTTTTGTGTCTTTGATAAACCCTACCAGTGTCTATACACCGTGTGTGTGTGTGTGTGTGTGTGTGTGTGTGTGATAATCCCTTTTCAATAGAAAGGGTTTTTTGTGTAGAAAAATTGCCCTCACTTTATGCTGAAGAAACACGAATCGTCAGAATAAAAACCCGCCGTCACAAAGACCCGAGTTCCTCCTCGTCACACCTGCAGCCYGACTCGTTCTGACGCACAATAAACCTTTTCAAGACACAAACATGACAGTGATTATACAGTACCAACAAAAATACACTCCACACCTTTAAACCAGCTAATAACRTTCATATAAAAACAGTTACATTGATTTAGATTCAGGTAAAAAGAAATGAAATTAGATTAAATAAAAAAATAAATCTCAGGTTAACATGATGACTTGCTAACGCCACATATTTATTAGTAATTTATATGGAGTTGGCTCCCGAACTAAATTTATTAGTTATTTTTAGAGCAGTAGCAACAAAAAACATGATTTTGAGCAGAAAAGCCTTACATTTTTGTCATTTGCTCTGCGTTCTATCAAAGTTTTTTCCTTTTTCCTGCTGGGAAATCTCAATGTCCAAATATTGTTTGAGGTTTCTTCTTTAAAATAAATTCAAAATTTGTCATTAGAAAAACCTAAAAGAGGATTCAGACCAAATAATGAGTTTTGCTGATCAGGAAGACGAGTCAAATCTCTGGAAGCACTCATGATATCAGGATGATCAGGAATCATCATGGGTTAAATCGTAGTTTAAAGGCAGCTCACCCTGACCAGATCTGATTTAATCCTCAGTTTGATGTGATGTCACATTTAATGAGACGTTCTTCACAAAGTTTAAACATGTTCTAAAAGTTTATTTCCTCGTGTCTCTCATTCATTCTAGATGTTTCTGGCCGTCTGCAGGGATAAACGCCTGTTTTGACGTCCTGGCGGGGATAAAAACGTCTCTTTACGTTGTGTTTGTTGTGTGTGATTTGTGGTAATAACGTTTGTTCTGCTGAGGTGAATAAGCGTGTTGGAGCACCGTGTGCCACGCAGAGATAAGTGCACGTTGTCGTCTCCAGAACCCACCAGCAGAAAGCAATGATCAGAAAACTGCAGGTCACTTCTTAAAGAAAAAAAAAKAAAAAAAGCGGTGGTGCTGATCCGTATTGATCCGCGTCCGTCTGACTTTTCAAACAAACCTGAAGTGAGCTTTTCCTGCTCCTCAGAAAGTGACACTTTCTACGTGACGTTCACAGAAACAGTTTTAAAACTTCTGGTTAACGACGCTCGTTTAGCAGAAAGTTTTCCTTTAGCTGCTTGTTCGGCTCATTTCTCTAAAAGCACCAACTGAGATCCATTATTCTTTCATTTAGTCTTAAAACAGTCATTTTTAAAATGCTCTATATCAGCTCCGACTCTTTAGGCTAATTTACAGTTTATATGTCTTCTGTAGGACTTTGAGTCAGACTCGCTCTGCTTGGACTTTTACTGAGTTTAGTAGTTTTTGCAGAGGAGCAATGGTACATACAGTATGTGTTTCCAATATTTTTGTAGAAATATAACCTAATAATTTAACCTTAAAATAACCTTATAATTTACTGTATTTATTGTCAGTCTGTATATTTTGTCCCAGTAATTGTGGTGAAGTTCAGATTTCCCAGCTTTTCAGCAGCCTTGAACGCAGCGTTACACGTGTGAAAGTCTCAAAGGTCGAGCAGATCCAGGCACTCGCTCACATTGTGAGATTTATTTTTCTCCAAACTAAAGGTCTTTCTGCACCACGAGACCCAACCGGGGTTGAAACCCGGGTTTAGTGTGTTTGCTTTAGCCAGTTCTACCCTGATATCTGGAACCAGAGACCCATGGTTCTGTTAGATTTTACCTGACGTCAGCTGCTGATTGGTTCAGAGACCAGAGGGTTACATCACACAGGTGAGGTTACCTTTACCTGAGTTTAATGCAATGACTAGCATTTTTTTGCACAAGTTCAACTAAACAACTATTGTAAACTACAGAGCAACAACAAACAACAACAAGCTAACAAACAACAAACTAACAAGCAACAACAAGCTAACGATAAAAAACAAGCTAACAAGCAACAACAAGCTAACGATAAAAACAAGCTAACAAGCAACAATGAGCTAACAAGCAACAACAAGCTAACGATAAAACAACAAGCTAATGAGCCACAACGAACAACAAGCTAACAAACAGCAACAAGCTAACGAGCAACAACAACTAATGATAAAAAACAAGCTAACAAGCAACAAACTAATGAGCAACAACTGGCTAACGAGCCACAACAAACAACAAGCTAAGGAATGACAAACTAACAAGCAACAACAAGCTAACAAACAGCAACAAGCTAATGAGCAACAACAAGCTAACGAGCAACAAGCTAACGAGCAACAACAAGCTAACGAGCAATAAACTCAAACAACTCCACAAACTACCAAACAACAATGAGCTAATGAGCAGCAACGAGCAACATCAAGTGGCCAAACAACAATAAGCTAACTTTAGCTACTGTTAGCTTACCATCCTCGTTCATCCTTACCTCTCATCTTCAGCCTCATTCTGCTGCATGGTCTGGTACRATTATCGGCACATTTCCTTTAAGTTCGTGTAGTCCAGTATTTTTTTGTTGCAGATAAAACAAAATAAAATTTTCAGTTTTATTCTGATGATGATCTGATGACATCACGCTGATGACATCACAGCGGCGCTCTGCTCAGTGCGAACACCACCAGGGCCGGGGTCGAATAAGGCCAGGCTGGGCCTTACRATGTAAAAATACCTTGAGTCTTGCTGCCATGTTGGTTTTAGAGAGAAGAGGTCATGACCTTTGACCTGCTGACAGAGCTCATTGCACGGTCTGACCTTTGGGTTGAGGCTTGGCAGCTGTCCTAAATGTTACTGTAGTTTGGAGATGACCTTTGACCCTTCTAGGGCCGATAAACAGCATGATTTGCTTCTCTGATGTATTTTCACTTTGTTTTGTGGTGAAAACCTTTGATCATCAGCTTCCTAACTCATGTGGAAGCAGTAAGGTTGGACTTGTTTTCTGTTTGTTTGTGTTTGAGCTTCACGTTCATCAGTTGTGTCAGCTGCAGAGAAGCAGCCCAGCAGTCAGTAAGCCACTTCACAAACCGTCCAATAAATCAATGTTTCGGCCTGCCAGCAACCCAACCGGTTACCACATCTGCACCCGACCGAGAGAACCAATCAGTAAGTCAGTCAGTCAGTCAGTCAGCCGTGCACACCCAGTCCTGGTGACACCCCCCCTGTCACGTGACCGAGGCTGTTCCCTCCTCCCTCGCCTTCAAAAATCAATACTGGCAGCGCTGCCTGCGCCTCTGTGTGTGAGTCTGTATCGACTGGATCATGTCAGCGTGGTATCGGCTGTGAAAGCAGTCATGTTGCCACGTTCACACATGCCGAACCCTTCGTCTCAGTCGTAGCAGAAGTCTTCCTCCCACAAAGCTCTGACATTTCATCACAATTAGAATCTAGTTCAGTGAAAAACACATTCAGGCTAAATTACTGACTTAACGACCAGTTTTTGGTTAACAGTGTTGCTCTATGGAGGACCAGAAGTGCCTCTAAGACAGCTTTATTCATTGTTTCGTTGCATTTTATCCTATTTATTCTACATAATAATTTATCTTCTACTGTATTTTTTTCTTTTCTTGTATTGATTGTTTTTGTATTGTTGCCATTTTGACCAGGACTCCCTGGAAATAAGAAATGATTTACAGCAGGTAAAATAAGTATTGAACACGTCACCATTTTTCTCAGTAAATATATTACTAGAGGT